GAATTAATTTGTTATTTAACTTTTGTTTTGTACCAAAAATGCAGCACCTCATTTAAATTAAGATGTAAAATATTGGAGAAGCCACCCAAATATCCTTTGAGACAGGAATTCATTTGTTATTTACCTTTTGTTTTGTACCAAAAATGCTGCACCTCATTTAAATTAAGATGTAAAATATTACATACACCACACAAATGTCCTTTGATACAGGAATTAATTTGTTATTTAACAGTGCTTTGGTACCAAAAATGCAGCACCAAAAGGAGAGCAGCACCTCATTTAAATTAGGATGTGAAGTATTGCAGAAACCACCCAAATATCCTTTGAGACAGGAATTAATTGTTACTTACCTTTTGTTTTGTACCAAAAATGCAGCACCTCATTTAAATTAAGATGCAAAATATTGAAGAAGCCACCCAAATATCCTGTGATACAGAAATTCATTTGTTATTTAACTTTTGTACCAAAAATGCAGCACCAAAAAAAGGAGAGCAGCACCTCATTTCAATTAAGATGTAAAATATTAGAGAAGCCACCCAAATATCCTTTGAGACAGGAATTCATTTGTTATTTACCTTTTGTTTTGTACCAAAAATGCAGCACCTCATTTCAATTAAGATGTGAAGTATTGCAGAAACCACCCAAATATCCTGTGATACAAGAATTAATTTGTTATTTAACTTTTGTACCAAAAATGCAGCACCACAAAAAGGAGAGCAGCACCTCATTTCAATTAAGTTGTAAAATATTGAAGAAACCACCCAAATATCCTGTGATACAGGAATTCATTTGTTATTTAACTCCTGTTTTGTACCAAAAATCCTGAATATTTTATGAGTGAACCATGAGCATTGGCCTCCAGATAATCCCTCACATTCCCTCTGGAATCTTTGGAGTCTGAGCTCCTGTAATGCCTCTGCTCTGGGGGGAAGGCTGGGAAGGGAATTCCAAACAACTCGAGCCACGTCCATGGGAAGCAGGCTGGGATTTGGGATCTTCCCATTCCTTCCTCCTTCAGGCTGCCGGATGCGACGCCTGGATTTGATTGAAGCTCGGTGGCTCGATTTAAGGGAGCAAGGGCAGCTCCCCCTGGAAAGAAAAATGGATTTTCCAGGAGTTCCACTCATCTTGCACAGCACAAGGACACTCCAAAGAAACATTTGGGAGCGATTCGAGGACCTAAAATCCGTAAGTCACTGCAGGAGCTGCTGGTTCTGGCTCTGGGAAGCGTCTGGAATGGCAAAAAAAAACCACTGGGAAGATTTAAATGGAGCAAAATCCACAATAAATCTGGGGAGGGGAGGAACAGACACATGAGGTGTTGGGCAGGGCAATTAATTAGGGATAATTAAGGGGGTGGGGGGAATGACAGCATCCAATTTAAGGAGGAATTAATGGAAATCTGCATAATTCTGCTGCTTTTCCTTGAAAAGATGGGCTTTGCATCCCACAGCTCTGCTCAGCATTGGGAGGGGGGTTTGTGCCTTAAACTTTTGGGGTTTTAAACAGAAGCATTGAAAATCCATCATTATTACAAAAAATGTGGAATTTATGGCTGGACCAACAAATATTTCCCAGCCTGAACCAGGAGCAGTATCCAGGGAAATGCCTCTAAATTAGCCATGGGATTAGAAGAATAATTAAGAAATATTTACTTACAATTATATCCAATCCCTTTTTCTTATGCTGGGATTAATCAAATTCCCAGATTTCCTTGTAGTCTCCATGTATATTACTCATTTAAATTAATTTTCTCCAACAACTCATTAAGGGCCCCAAAGGCTGCAGATCCTGCTCGACTCAGTTATTCCTTACTTTGCATTGGAAATCTTTCCCTGCACATCCCTCAGGTCCAGCTCCCACATGGAGCAAACCAGGGGCATTTCCCGTGAATTCCAGGGAATTTAGAGCAGAAAAAGTTCTTTTTGGGATATTGGGTTTTATTCATTAACCAGGTAGGACTACAGGGGGAATTTCCCAGCACCAAAATGGAGTTCTCAGGATGCATCCAAAGCCATCTCCAGGTGTTTCCAGGGATAAATCCTGTGTTTTCCAAGTGTTTCCATGTGGTTTTGTTTTAAAACCATTTAATCATTTAGAATTCTTGAAATGGCACAATTTGAAAGTAAATCGGTGCTTTTAAGTTATTAAAATAATAATTAATAAGAATTTTATTGCCATGCACAAGTGCTTGTATCTGGTGCATGAAATGGGGAATTCTCCATTTTCATCCAGACCAGGAATCCAAGGCCTGGAAGTGCCGGGGAAATTGGGATGGGGTCTCTGCTGCCAGGGCCCATCGTGTCCTGTCAGGAAAGGTGGGGTTGGTATGGATCCCCTGACCCCCA